TCCCACGACATACGAAAACGAATTCTAGGGATGAAAATTAGGGAACCATGATAATACTTATAATCCCCTAATTTTCCCTAAATTTTGACCTCCACAAGCCCAAGCGTGCCCGTTTGTTCTTCATAATGCTATTGCTTCCGCCTCGTCCAAAAAGTGCGTGGTGAAAAGAATGATCCTTCCTGGTCGCATAGACTGCAGAAACGTCCACAACTGGCGTCGACTGTGCGGATCCAGACCACTGCTCGGCTCATCCAGGACCACGAACAAGGGATCACCGACAAAAGCGAGGCCGACAGAAAGGCGTCTTTTCTTAGACCTCTCACCTATTCATCCCTGTGGAAATCCCTCAAGCACCATATGCGTCAGTATGGGTCCCTTGTATCTATTGGGGTGCATATGCTTGAGGAATGTCTATAGAGATGGATTAGGGGCAGCCTTAATTTTCATGCCGCCAGACAACTCGCCCACCAGAGTGTTTCGTTTATCCTCGAGGCCCAATGCATGGAGTAATTTCTCGACATACGCGCGCCGTCTAGCTCTTCGCAGCACTCGCTTGCTCGTCCGGAGTGAAGTAGATGGTGGAGCGAGACTGGTAGACGATGCCAAATTCTGAGCGGACGTAGTTGTGCTCCTCATCAACGAAGATGATGCTCCTGTACTTAGTAGAGCTAGTTGTACTTGTTCTCTAAAGCCAGGACGAATCACACGCGGTGAAAAGAAGTCATCTTCATCGTCGTCATCATCTTCTGACGAAGACGTTGAGGAGGAGGTAGTTCCTCCTGCAACACTTCTTCTCGATGTTGGAGTACAACTAGACAACTCTTCCTCCACGTCCATGTCGTCAACGCCACGTCGTGCTGCGCGTGCCTCTGCGTCAAAAATAGAAGGAATCTCCACGACTGTGGTAGTCATTGGACCGCTAGTTCTAGAGTGTTGCTCCTTTTCATCGTTGCAGTTTTCATCCTCACCAATTCCATCCTCTTCTACATGAAGATGATCACCGTCAACCTCATCTGTTTGCGAACGCACTTCAGGTTCTTGTACGTGATTGTTGCTCGTCGTTCTGGCTCTGCTTATGCCAATCCCAGCACTACTTGGACTCACTCTACTTCTTTCAGCACTAGTTGGACTCACTCTACTTCTTCCAGCACTACTTGGAGTCACTCTACTACTTCTTCTACTACTTCTTCTGTTGCTCGGTGGAAGACAATCTAGATCCTCTACTTCTTCGTTATCGTTTCCTGCATTGGCATCAACTCTCCCTCTGCTTCTTCTACCAACTACTCCACTCCCTTCTCCTTGATCCCCAACAGGTTCGTAGTTTTTCAGCTTGAGAAACAAGTAAAGGTGTTCCTCGACAGTGAGGTAGTCCCACAAAACATTATCCTGGGGACACACTCCTAATAAACCCGACTCGCGTAGCCGCTTCATATCCGACAGTTGATAGCCGAATACGGACACTTGGGAACCAGGCAGGATGTTTTTCGACGATACATGGCCGGTAAGGACGCGCATATGTTAGAGCTCACGACAAAGACAATTCATTGAAAAATAAGACTTCTAAAATCTATTTTCATCTAGTACGAGTCTTCATTGCTTCTCAGGATCCATAAAAGAGACGGAGAGAAACTACTACACTCGCGACTGTATGTACGTCATTCATTCAGTCACTCACTCGGTGCTCGCAACAAGATCTGCGTTGGCTCCACAGTGTGGGCCTTCTTAACACTCTATCTACGTCTACCTACGAATATCTTCGATGTTGAACTATTAGTAGCAAAGCCTTAAATGCACGTGCTTTTCCCAGCCCCATTGGGACCTAGGAGGCAGAAAATTTCTCCAGGATACATCTTTAACGTAGTCCCACAACCTAAAGCGTCGATGTCCTTACCGAACCGAACTCTTAGGTTGTCTACACTCACGACATTACCAACTGCTTCGTGATCTAGGAGGATCGGGTCGGTGATGGGTTCGACATATTGAGTAGAACTTGTCGTTGCGCTGGTGGTTGTACTTTTGGCCGTTGAGGTAGTAGCTTTTTCAGTTCTATTAAGTTCAAGATCGTCAACAGAAATGAACTCATCAACTGAAGATATTCTTTCACCGACCGCTGCGCCTGCATCTCCAGCTGCATCATCTTCTTCTTCGCTTAAGGGGCTGCGTTGTCTATTATTGTGACCTGCTTCGTCTAGTCGTGGCGAAATCATCCTTGCGCTTGACGATGAAGACGTTGTGCCGCCCCCTATTCCGCCACTACCACCTTCTCCCTCGGCAACTTCATTGTAATAGAGCTCTCGCCCACGACTATTTCGACCACCACGACTCCTATGGCCTTGAGTAGTTGCATACATCTTTTTCACTTTCTCCACCACCCGTTTGATCAGTCGCAAAGGAAGTCGTGTTAAACTAGAACTCTGCAATTGGTCATGCCAAAATCTAAAAGACAAGAAAAACAGCCTTCCCCGATGCGAAACGCCGTCATGTGACGCAGTCTGGTCAAAATAGTACCATAGGAATACGGCAACCAGAAGGTTGCAACACATGGATGCCATTTGTTGTGGAGGTAGAGGCTGTCCTGGAACATTGGGCTTCATATCGGAGGACACGGGCTCTGGTCCATCGTTCGTAATGAAGGCATGTCCAAGATGGTTCATGACATTCCGAACTAGGAAATCCAGAAACGTTTGTGGCCACAGAGGTGCAAGCCACGTTAAAGTTGCGTAAGCACTGGCTGCGAAGGAAGTTGTTGCAAATTCGAAGTTGTCCTCGAGACGAATGCTCGCCATTTCTTGTTCAGAAGTTGATGTTCTTCCCAATGAAAAAAGTACTTGTTGCTCAACGTCCCCTTCTCCACTCCCACTTGAAGGAAATACCAATGTCAAAACCTTGTACAAGAACGGCACTGCGAAGACTAGGCACGCTGACACCGCACCGGCAGCCGGAGTGGAAAAAAGGGAGCTTAGGAAAAACCCGAAGCCCTGCACGTTGAGGACGAAAAGCCAGGTCGCACCAAATGTCACGGAAAATGCCGTACTATAGCTGACACTTGCTGAAGTCGAAGGCAAATTATAGTACCCAAAGAGCAACAGGTTTCCACTAAAAACAGCGGAAAAAAGCGCAGCCACTACTCCAGCGAGGAACAGGTAATGCAAGTAGAGCGAAGTATCGTACACTCCGACGCAGCGTAAACCCTCTTTCAGTCCCAGCGCTCGCTCTTGAATCATGCCAGATATTCCGAGAAAAAACGGGATGAAAAGTGGCACGCCCACTTTCATCAGCAAATCGAGCTCCAGTCGGCGTTGGAGTGCGGTAGGCGAAGTCAGACCACTAGCAGCCATTACGTCATTGCGTGTTCGGACCTCAGTCTGAGAAGGAAAGGGGAAATACAACGGCTCTCCAGCAGCCGAAAATAGCGTCTGCAAGAGCTCTAAGGCACCACTGGAGAGGAGATGCTTATGGTAAAATCTGATATTCACATCTTCGGGACGATGGTAAAAGTTGGGATGAAGCTGGTTTCTCGTACTAGCGTGATGAAGGGAGGTGGGTTTCTCATTGTACTCATCGAGTTCGTTGCTCGGCTCCAGTGCCGTGGAAGATGAAGATGCACCGGCCGCTGGGTCTATCAAGCGGAGCAACGTGCCAGAATTGGTGTGTCTGGAAGAAATTGTTCTAGTCATTGTCTTCGCGTTTTTCTCTGTTACCACGCCACAGAAATTGACACGACCATGTGCTTCGTCAAGCTCACCATAACGGTTAGTGTCTGACGCAACATCTCCCGTGCTCCTGGTGCCGAAGGCATAGTAGAGCCTTAGCTCTCCGAAGTCACGCCATAATTTAGTAGTTGTAGTAGAATCTAGTGATGAAGTAGTAGAAGCTACTACCCTTTCTACCCGTCTCGCAAAGTCTTCCGTCTCAGCTATGACAGCCAGTCGATTCTTAGTCGCTTGATCACTGCTTGATGGTTGTTGTTCCTGGCGTGCTAAGTGCTGTAACTGCATCGATGGCGAATACAACGTACAGAAGCTCCGTAGTGCCGTACTGCTACTGGAAGCTGCTTCATATAAAAATCCTTCTCCTCCCTTTGCTCCACTCAAGAATGATCCACCCAAGTGCTCCTCCCCAAAGATATCGTAGAATGTGGAAGCTCCAATCTCCGAAACGCTGACCCAATGAAACCACCTCGTTCCATCCAGCGCAAAGAAGAGTAGAGTAGTTAAGATAGGTGCGCCGAAAAATTCGAGGAGGTAACGTCTGGCATAACGTTTCTGTTGTGCCCTGGACTTCCATAGGAGAGCCGCAACTTGACGGAGAACGGCGCGAACCATCTTTTTATTCGATAAACTGAAATAAGCAAGTAACGGATCAGAATAACCGAGATACTGAGTGAACAAGGAATAGCAGCCCGCTAGAGCTACCTCCGCCCTTATTTCAGTCAGTAACTCGCGTATTTTGAGTTTTTCGAATACCTTCTTGGTTTGGGAGGGCTTAGAATTTCTACTACTACTAGGGCTTATAATTTACCCATAAATGTTCATATTGCAGTTCATGTTGTTCGTCCAGAATGATGTTGGCGCGGGGATGCCGCCAGCAGAGTTGTATTCAAATTGATACTAGAACATCACGTTTTTCTTAGAGCAGCAGGAGGCACGACTAGAACTACTTACAAAGACAATTACAAAGCGGCACTTTTTCATCCGGTGCCAAAGGCAGCCGCTGCCTCTTTTTTTCATTGCAATCAAGACGAAGACAGTCGGTCCACATGAGATGAAAGCTGCTCGCACTAGTTGTACGTACGCTTCTTTGATGTAATACACCTGCTGAGCTTGTTCAGCTAAAATGCACTCTGGCTCTGCACATCTCTCCTCGCTCAGTAAAAAGGTGACGAAGCATGATCATCCAGTTCTCTTCCAGCAGCAGCTAAAGCTATAATAGGGCCAGAACACGTGTCTTAGTATCTCATCTGGCAAGTTGGCGCTAGAAAGTACTAGAAAGTACAAGAGATCAAACATCAATCTTTCCAAGATGAGTCAATATGTACTAGTGAGCATCTTCTGATGTGGGTATAGAAGATGTTGATATTTTTGTCTCATTTCTGATTCTCGGAATCCACCAGACATAATCTGTATCTAGGCGAATCAATTGCTCAAAATCTTTGCCCCCAGCACGCTCGTGGAGGCTACTATCGTCACCAGTCCTTCTACTATCAGTCTTAGCGGACGAAGGAAGAATGAAATGGCTCAAAGCGACTGGTATTCCAGGAAAGCGACTGGTTGCAAAGTCGTGACCTGCAAGAATGAACCTCGTCTTCGGAGCATAGGCTTCCAGATCCGCCTGAATACCTTTATAGGTGTGATCTCCGTCAATGAAGACGATGTCCAGCTGTTCGAAGACTTTAGCCGCCTCTACTGACGATTGCCGATGAAAGAAGATACCAGGTTCAGCTGGATTGATGATATAATGGCGGTCCACCTTCTTTTGGTTATCATCTTGTGTCCTCGGCTCTTCCACCTCCGGATTGTTCTTCTTTTCCTGTTCTCCTTGGAGATCTTGATCTTGATCGTGTTTGACAAGATACACAACATTCTGGCTACTTCCACTTCCTCTAGACGAATCCTGCTCATTTCCAACAGCCAACATGCGTCTGAGCAGGTCCGTCAGAACCATGTCTGCGCTTATATTCCTGTCACCATCTTTCCACTCGAAAACCCCAGCATTGTCGTACGTGTGCCGTCTGGCGGTCAGAGGTGAAACGATAATCTGCCTCTCTGCCCCCTCCACTTCGTACAAGGACAAGCCTGCTTGTTTTTCACGTGCCGCAGTAAGGAGCCGCGTAGTTGTACTAGACAAAGACGACGCTGAGGAGGACTTGAATTCCTCCTGAATAAATTGGTACAATGCTTCCAATATCTTCGAAGGTGAGGCCTTCGCTTTTGCAACCGTTCTTGAGCACCATGATAAAGAAGATGGTGACTCGTTTCCAGGGGAACCAGGAGCAGATGCCGTCCTCATCTGACATGGCATCTTCAGTCGTAAATTTCCGAAAAAAGCAGGAGCTTCACCATGTTCATCCGCCTTGCTGTTATTCTGCAACAGCTCTAGCTTATCGGCAGTTGTAGAAGATTTATCGGAAGTTGTAGAAGATTGATGAATGTCTCCAAATTCCTTTTCCAATCGGTCTAAAAATTCTGCGTTTTCGTTCTGGACGAAAGCTCTCATACTGGCAAATTCCAATTCCTTATCTTCCCAAGGGTCGATGAGATGGACTTGGAGCCTCAAATCTTCTGGCAACGGACAGTTTTTGAGCACATGTTCAGTAGTTTCACCAGAAAAAACACCAATTTCAGCGATCGAGAGAACCTTGCTCTTAGTCCTCCTCTTAGTTGTACGGTTAAAAATATTAAGTTTAATATCTACTTCATGATGATGCGTTGATGTTGTAGTTGCGCTCGTACTTGTTGCACCAAGAATCATACTACTTGTAGTACTAGTACTTTTTGTAGTTCTTCGGTTAGTTGTCGTTTTTCTTCTCGGAATCTTGCCCGTGCTTTTGGTTGTACTAGTAGACACGAGCGAGTAGACAAGCGGCTCCTTTACTTCTGCCTCCTCTTCTGCGGACAGCAACTGATCCCAGTTCTCCTTGGCAACTTTTTGCACTAAGTGGCACAACGCAAATTTTCGCTTGTAAAAATCCGTCGCGGCCCAGTCGGTGACAAGAGAGAAATGCTTGTGCAAATCGAAGTCTGGGTGTAATGCGCCGTGTCTTGAGAGGTGGAAAAGCTCTATCAAGACCATCCACGCATAGCTCAAGCTCATCATCCACATTTTGTGGCCGTGAGTGGGATGTAAAGGGAGAGATTGACGCATGCCGTCGACTGCATCTCTAATCCCTAGTTGTTCGATTCTCGCTTGTGGCACTTGCGATGTCCATCTCCCTACCGCGTCATCCAGATCAATATGCACCCTCTTGACACAGCGCGCGTCGACTTGGCGTACTAGGTCCGAAAAGCGAGGTGGGAGGCCAAAGGGATTAGAAAAAGTAGAGGACTGTTGTGAATGATACATCTGCTGCTACAGCTAGATGGAGAAGTCAAGAAGAGCGTACTTCTCCCTCTACCTCAAAAAGAATAGATGGAGAAGGAGAAGTGGTAAGATCTCTTTCTAGTAATAATATTATAATGTATTGACACACGGGATAAACTTAGATTTTTAGAGGCGAAAACTGACCGGCTGCTTTACTTAGTGCCTTGAGCGTCGCGGGAGCTCAGCCTTCACCTAAAAGGAAGAAGCCAATCAAGACTTGCAGAACGCCTCTAAGTGAAAATAGGGGGAAAACATAAACACTATCGTCCTCACCCTAGTAATAATGGAGGCTGAAGTACTAGGTGAGTAAGTTGGAATGAGGTGAGGTTAGGGTGCGGATCCGTCACTTCACAATGGGAGAAATGGGATCAAAATCATGCGAGACCTTAAATTTCTCTCGTCCTTCCTCGAGGAAATACTTTTGCACGATGTCGTCAGCGCCACAATGCTTGTATTTCTGACGCTTTTCCTCCTCTGTCCACTTATCCGGATCAATGTTGTGGGATAGATTAAAGTGAAGATAGAACACACATCCTCCAATAAACCAATTTTAAAAAATGATCCTCGCAAGATAATTGTGAGGATGATGATTAACATAACTGTACATAATTTTCTCCACGCCAGCATCTGGATCTGCCACGCCAGGAGTGAGCGCCATCAAGTAGTCTTCTTTCACTTTCGCCACGCAGGAGTAATATTCATGATTAGAGCTAGGAGAAATGCATCTTCAGCAGCATCTTTCGCCCCCTTTTTCCTTGAAAAACGGGACCCGGATGCTTGTGAAGATGGATTTCATGCAGCCTTAACATGAGCCACCACAGCGTTGAAAAAGTAGGCTATGCTCAAGCACGTCTCAACCAAAGCTCGCATCTCTGCCACGGCGCAGCTGTAATCTCTGGTAAAGGGATGTAGTTCGTAATCGTTGATAAGAAAAGCGAAGGTAAGTGGTTCACACCCTGATGGCCCTGGAAAGGTCTCGACTGAATGTTTGAAAACTTCTTCCGCATATGAGGGACCGATGTAGAAGGTACTAGGATTGTAATTTTGTGCAAAACCAGAAGGCGAGGTTTCCTTTTTTTGAATTTTTTCTTTTGTTGAAGCGGAGTCTGTAGTAGTAGAGGACGAGGCGTCGGGCTCGAGGATCATTCTGCGGGAATCACCAGCGTCTTCTACAACTTCAAGTCCACCTTCTACTTGTACACCTCCTCCTTCTTGTCCATCTCCATCTTCTTTCTGTAGTATATGTCGATACTTTCCGAGCAAGACGAACTGCTGTTCTTCACGTCTCAAACGTCGCAAGTCCGAAACTGTAGTGCCACTCTGAGTTGGAAAATCGCGCAAAACAGCCATCTCTAATTCGAGCATGGAATTGCCATGCTCTGCTAGCAATTGCGTCACTGCTGGGGAGAGGTTCCTGTTTTGGCTTTCGTGAAAGTTGGAGTTGCCATCTTGATGTTCATCGTCTTCTGGTCCTACTCCTGCTTCTGGTGGATTTCGATCTTGTTCCTCTTGAAGTGTTAGTACAGCGTCTGGATGTCGCTGTGTGGTATCTGGATCTGGTACTAGCGTAGTCCTAGGGTGTGTGGCTGCGTCTGGATCATTTGCACCTCCACTAGAATCTAGTGAATTCGACTGGCTTTCTAGATCTCGCGAGTGTTCTTCACGAGTCTTGTGACCGAGGCACAGACATGAAGACGAGCACCACACCGCAGCACCACATAAGAAGACCTGCTGCACCATCAAGATGAACATGGTGTTTCTCGTTGTTGTGTGTGCCTTGACTGTGCCGGTGTGAAGTGAGTCTCAAGTGTCCTCGTTTATTTTGTTCCTCTGGTTGTATGTTGTATCGTATCTTATTTTGCTTCACAATTACTCTACGCCTCCTCGGACGAGTAGCACGACTTCTCTCAACGTTCCTTCTCTAAAGTCACGCATGCAGATATATCACCAATTCCCTCCTCTGAACACCAGGCATGCAGCAGTCAGGTCGTTACATACTTGATTCAGTTTCAGATGCTCCGTACAACTAGTGGTCATTATTTGAGTAGTGTTAGATGAATTATGCTTCTCCTACAGCATATTGGTCCATGATCGCAACTTTTGCGCACTGCGTGCTCATAAAACGGTTAGGGTTATTAACCTCCTGTCACGATTATTAAACATGACCCCACCTTTAACATGACCTCACTAGATCATGATCTCACATCTCGATAATGTCCAGCACATCGTCAAGAATGTTGGAATTCACTAACAGGATACGACTGTATGTTGCCTGATACCGCTACAACACACGACTGTATGTTGTCTCATGTCTGTTGCGAAGGTCAGTGCATGATTACCTTGACTTCGTGATGACTTCATAGGATGCATTATATTATAATCAAATATGCCATATTAACACCAGGGCGAGGGTAAGATGATCATGATGAAGAGAACAATAATAATCAAACCCGACTAAGTACACTGCCTCGACAAGAACTCGACGTCGTCGTTATGCTTAGAAATAAAAAGTGCACAACTTATCTTACCTATTTCCCGTCGTTATGCTCGGAAATAAGAATGCAACGCATATATTTGTAATTCACTTATTCAGTATCAGTTCCAGAAGGCCTCCTCTTACCATCCTGATTACGTCCCTGTCATTCTGCAGTTCCTCAGCTGCGTGCATCCCCGCACGGCGATTTTGCTGGACGGCCGTCATGACGATTTCCTTGTCCTTTTGCAAGTCTGGATGCGCGTATTGGAGGTCCATGCCGTCCTTTGCAACAGCCTTCATGACAATGCCTCGGTCATTGCGTAACTGCTTACTTGCGTAATGAAGCACGCTGGTCCAGTTCTCTACAGCCTTCATGACGACGTCCCTATCTCCTCGCAGCTGTTCACTTGCCTGCGCGATTGCGCAGGCGTTTAGCTGTACCGCTTGCAGAAAAAACTCCTTATCGTTTTGTAGTTCGTCAGGCACTTGCGCGCCACAAATCCCATTTTTGAGGTGCATACTTGAAGGCGCAGACTAAATTGAGGTGAGTACGATTTTGCTAGATCTGCCAACATGACAGACTAGCCCACTAGCGGCATCCAATCGCTTTGAACCATGAATCGAAGATGAGTCGTGAGAATAAGAAAAGCCTGACGCCGAAGGGCGCGCGATTGGACCCGCTAACGGGCTAGTGTGTCATGAGGACAAGGGAGGAGAGGGTGGGAAAAGAAAAGAAGAGAGTAGAGTACTGAATACCTGAATAGGAATAGAGTGAGTACGATTACGAGTAGAATACGAACGCAGCATGTGATGGCCAATCACATACGCTGCGTGTAGGATGCGCAGCCACCGAGAATACGAATAGAAAGCAGAATACTGAAGGAGGAAGAGAAAGGCAGAGGCGCCGATAGTCTGCAAACATACATAGCACACACCCCAACTAGCTACGTCGAACACCTTCGCTATTCTTGCATATCAATAATTGGCATCCGTCTGAAGGCTTTTCAGTATGAACTCGCGGCTCCTTAGCAGCTCGGAATGAATTAGAAGACATAGTCACTTACGCTTATCACCCGTGTGGTCTAGGTGCCTTGCAGCCCTGTTGGTATTCCCTCTCGGCTTCTAGGGGGAATCCAATCAGGACGATGGGTCACACGGAACCGAGAGAATGAAGTACTTACTGCCCTTAAAATCTCCCTGTCTTTTTTCAGCTCTGGATCTGCCCAATAAAGTGCCCCGAAAGGGTAGTTTTCCACTGCTTTCATGACGATTCCTTTATCCTTTTGAAGCTCGTCACTTGCATGCCTGCGGTTTTTTTGTTGTTGTTGTCTACTGTCTACAAGTGCGCCACCACGTGACTTAAATCGGGGTCGTGGCCGGAACCTACAAACAAAGCGAAGAACAGGGACGCGGCCTGCCTTGTAGAAGAACTAGCGCGGGCTCGCGGAGCCACATATCTATGCGCACATTTACCGCGATGGATATAGGAGGCGAATGCTAGCAAAGCGTTGGCTAGCTAAACAACTAACTCGTGCGAAGTTGGTGGAGGATCGGTAGGGACACTACAGTTATATAACACCCAGAAGATCATACATAGATGAATCGATCTTGTTGCGGGGAGGCGTGGCCCCCAGCAGCTAAAGTGCATAATCGTGATTCAAGATACCTCCTACCGTCCATGAAGAGATAAATGAGTAAGATACTTGAGGGCTGCGCCGTCTTTTCCAACTGCTTTGAGAACGATTTCGCGGTCGTTCCGGCACTCTTTAGATGCAAAACGTAGCGAGTCAGCATGATTCTCCACGGCCTGCATGACGATCGTCCGGTCGTTCCTCAAGGCCTCAGGCGCAAAGTTGAAGTTTTTTTTTTGTTGTCTACTGTCTACAAGTGCACCACCGCGTGACTTGAATCGGGGAGATGGCCCGAAGCTACAAGCAAATTCAAAGAACAGGGACGTGGCCTGCCTTGTAGAAAAGCTAGCGCGGGCTCGCAGAGCCACCTATCTAAGCGCACATTAACCGTGATGGATATAGGGCACCTTTTTCAACTGCCTTCATGACTATCGCCCACTCGCTTTTTCTGTCCTCACTCGCGTGCTGCAGCGCCAGGGGATTTTGCTCGATTGCCTTCAGAACTATCGCTCGGTCGCCTCTTACGTCTTCATGTGCAAACGCCAGGGCGCTCCCTTTGTTTTCCACCGCTTTCATGACGATCTCCTTGTCTTTTTGTAGCTCAACAGATGCAAATCGAAGCGCAAAGCCATTGCCCTCCACGGCTTTCATGACGATCTCCCTATCCTTTTGCAAGTCTTTATGGGCAAACTCGAGAGCGGCACCCCTTGCCGATACGCTCTTGCGGGCAACGGCGGTAGCGACAATGTCGCGATCCTTCTGAAACTCTTCAGCAGCAAACTGGAGAGCCCTGCCTTCGATTTCCACCACCCTTGTTAGAAACATGGATTTGATCGTATCCACGACTTGCTCCTTCTAAGGACGAAGCAGTGATGCAATCGCAAGAATAGAAATAGGAAGCACTGTAAGATCAAGAAAGATCATCGCTATGATTGGACAAAGTAGAAATGTGCGACAAGAATAGATCCGGAGTTTTCTGGAGATCCTCCAGAAAAATTAACAGAGGCTTCAGAAAAGGTGCAGAAGGGAACGGACAGGCTCTGGCGAAGAGCAGGATCAGGAGGAAGGATCGAGCAACAACATCTGATGGCGATCTGCCTACCGCAAGCCTCCTCACTTCTCTCTCTTCCTCTCTCTCCCTCCTTCTTCTCTCAAAGGTTGCGGTTACGTGTAGAACCACAACTTTTCGTACCGTGTGATAATATTTTTCCCGAGAGAGCAAACAGAGAGAGAACGACAGCGAGATCTTCTACACCTTCTTCTTGTTCTTCATCTTTTCTTTCTTTCCTTCTTCTTCACATCGTCCTTCAATCCACGAGGAACAGAACAACAGAACTAGCAGCAAACCGAAAACCAGAGCAACCGAGTGAATGCTTAACAGACGCGCCACCGAACACGCAGTAGATCCCAGTCGCGTATCTGGAAGTCGCGTCCCTCCGGCTCCATCACCAGCCTGCTTCTCCGCTCGCAGCTCCATCCCATCAAGAGCTGATAAAACGGGCACGACCAGGCTCAGACTGTCTTGCTGTGGGGGGTGGGTTGTTGATTGTTGTAGCGAGTGGATGGCTTCTCTCATGATATGCCCTCAAATCAAAGTAGGAAGTCTGAAGTTAAGGCATGATAGGTAGGTTAGCACTGAGCGTCCCGAGGGAGCTGCCAGCTGCGAATATCATCATCAGGCAAAAACGTTAAGGAGGTAGCAGACCTACTAGGAACGCGAGCGATCAAGAAAATGCGACAACGTGCGTTGATGTTGACTATGATGAGGCGATAGGAAGTCTACGTTTGCACGCTTATGAATGTAGTTGACGAACATGAGCAAGAAAATGAAACTAATACCATGAGAAGGGAACTCATTAAATCAAGACCAAACTTTCCATGCCTTAATATCGAACTACGTACTTCTCAATTGAAATAAAAAGTCTTCCACTCCAGGTTCAATAATAATAAACGGTCCTAGTCTGTGCATTGTAGAATAATTGAGCAGCAACAGGTGCAGAGTTGACAAGCAACAAGACACCTGCACTGCTGGAAAGTGGTCGGACGTGAATAGATGTAAATTGTAGAGCCTGTACAAAATGAACAATAATAAATTCTTTAATGCTAGAAGATCTAGCCGGTCTTCATCAACCAGCTCTAACTATGATCACGAAGGGCTTGCGGCTGCGGGTTCGTTGTAGTCGATAGACGAACTTTCACACGAGTGCGATAAGTGCGTCAATCTTAAGGAAGGCGCCAGCGCCTAATCTAGTTGATCTCGTTCTCAGTCCTTGCATGTCACAGGTAGCTGCGTAGAACAAATTCAAAACTTGAATTTAGATCAAGAACCAATGAAAAAATATTATGATGGAACTTCCTACTTCATGCTCGTGGTGCTGTGTGGGTCATTTGAAGTTTGCATTGGCGAGCACGTCCCTCGAAAGAGATGCGCAAGCCAGACGAGCCTCACTCACAGCATGACCTGAGGAACTTCTGTTGCGATTCGCCTTCTCTTGTCTTTTCATCAAGAGCAAAGTACTCCATTACATTTAGTTACTTACCTTCCGAAACGAAAATGATTCTTCTCTTTGTGGTGCTTCTTGATCTGTCTAGTACTAGTCTGCTCATTTTCGTACTGATTCGACATCGATTTGCCTCAAAGATCTCTCAGCGTCTACTTCTAAGTTCTAACGTGAATCACTCCACTGACTTGCCTATCATTAGATTTAGATTTTTGGAAACAAATAGAAATACGAAACGACCTAGACACGATGATCAAGCTGGTGTCCCTCATCTTCATTTTCTAACTCCCCTTTTCATCTCTTGTCCCTCTTTCTCGTTCTCCAGTCTCCTGGTACGCTTACGCCGCATCCGGGTTCTGGCGCTTGTTGCCAGTGGACGAAGAGGAAGACGAAGCACCGAAGAGGCCAGCGCAACCCTTGGGCACTGCCTTCTTTTGCTTCTTCTTGCCAGCACCTGCGCCACCGTCCTTTGTCTCCTCCTCCTCGTGAACCATCGGAACCTTGTAGAAGATCTGGAACGAGCCGCACTCCTGCAGTATAGAATTACGTTGAGTCTCGACTTCGCCTTCGAGGCAGTGATGGGATTGAGAGGGAAAGGAATTGTAGATCTTTTTTTATGCACCTAGACAAAGACAACGACCAAGACAAGTGGCAAACCAAAAAACCTAAGATGAGCTTAAGTCCTGCTACTATCGTCTATTCTAAAGTCTCGGACTAAATCTAAAAAAGTCTAATACAATCTTCTGCGGAGCGAGGTTGTACTTCTTCGTACCAGGAGGGGCCTTCCATTCGAGTAAGAGCTGGCCCGACTTGGCACTGGCCAACCGCTTCAGCTTCGACGAGACTGGCTTGCCGTCCACGAGTTTCACCAGCATGGGGATCCGACCTGGAACGATATGGGTAACGGTTCCACAAACATCCTTGACCAAAGCCATGTGCGAGGTCTTATCAATCCACTTGTAGTGCTTCTGGTCGCATCGCACGCACTCCGTGGGGATCTGAAGTATGGAAAAAGTGGTTACGAAAGGACGCCAGTCAGACCTAAGTGGACAATTTGGGCGTTTGCAAGTACATGATGGGAAGGAAGTAGTTTTCATGCTGTCAATCTCTTAAGATCTAAGATCACAACGAGAAGTCTCCCATTCTCTTTCAGTTTCTATTTCATTTTCAATTTCAAAAAGATAAATACGAATATAGAAGCACCGTGCAGAGATCGTCGAAATCATTCAGCTTCACCTGGACCCATGGGTCCTTCTCCTCAAAACCGAGGCGAGCGCGAATATCCGAGACCTTGGCAGTATGCTTGCGGTCCAGCTCAGAGATCTCGAACTTCTGCTTGCGAATACGAGCTGCGAGCTCATCTGCTTGCTTCTTCACGTCCTCGTCGTTGCTGGCGCACCTCTTCAACACCTTCTTGGTTCGCTTCGCTGCTTTGTTTTCGGCCTGCTCTGCGTTGGCGTGCTCCTTGTGCAGCTTCTTCAAAGCGACATCGTGTTCCTTATCGAGTTGGTTGAGCTGAGCATTCAGCGCAGCGATCTCAGGGGATGTGGTCTTCGCCTTGATGATCTTCCCCTTCTCACCATCCAGATCGGCGTACTCGTGCTCGTTATCAAACTCGAGATAAGTCAGCATGTCCGGCGCGAGCGCGACGTTGTTGGCTGTAGTTGGAGACCGCCGCGCCCGAAGACTGCCGACGGCGGAGAATCTTGGCGAAAAGTTGCCGGGGCTCACGCGCGCCGCTTTCACGCCTGTCCACTTCACGCGGCGTCTGCTAAGCCTCTGAAAGCAGAGCCGACAGAACCAACACACGACCAGCCCGGTCACTGCACTGAGAGCACCACAAGCCAACGAGCCAGCCTGCGACGCAGCCGCCCGACAAATTCCCAAACAAATGCACAGCCCAAAAGGCTGCACAGCTCTGGAGAGAGAAACAGAAAGACCACACAAAGCAGACACAGAAGACGCGGAGTCTTATGCGCTCCCGCTGCAATTTGTCGCGGGTTTGTTCCTGGCGGTTCATTTTCATGTCTTCATCAAAAAAACATGGAAGACGAAAGCTTCAGAATCTTCGCGGAATGTTTGCGGAAAGTTTACAAGTCTTGACCATGTTGGAACTTCGTGCGTCTATCTTTTCGGAAAGATTCCGCGAAGATTTTTCAAAGATTTCGCGAACTTTTCGCCAAGATTTTTTTTTTTCTAAAGTGACAGAAGAGACGGGAAGCCGCTGGAGGTGTTCAAGCGGGGAAAGATGGCCGCCGCCAGCTTATGGCGACACTGCTCCCCCGCCTGCGTTTCCCCTGTCCTCCGCCCCGGTGTCCTACGCTTCAGGGGGCTCACACAACAGCGCCACGCCTGCACCCGGGGCGGCGCCGATGCCACCGGCATGCGAGCGGTCCACAACGAACCAGCGCCGGGGCTGCCACCAACGACGAAACACAGAACAAACGAAAAGCAGCGCCAGGCGCTTCGGCGCCTGGTTTGGCCTTTCAAGCAAAGAGACAACGAAGACCAGCCCCGGCAACTTTTCGCAAAGATTTCACGCACGTCTTTCACATCGTCGCGGCGGTCTCCAACTGTAGGTGTGGACGAGAAAAGGCGTTTGCGTTTCTTTTGTAATAAGTGTTAGCCTTTGTTGGAGTAGTACTTCAAGCTCCGCTCTAAATCAGAACTCAGAAAGGGAAAGCTCCCGCAAAGCAAAATATAAATAAATCTAACTCAGACCTTAACTCAAACCCTTACTCTAACTCCAAAACAATATAGGTACTGTAAGGCTTGTCCTTCGCAATGACTTTGATGCTCCCGACACCGTACCCCATAAGACGCATGTCCGCGTTGATGATGGCTTGCACCTCCGATCTCGCCGCCTTCAATTCCTCTTCAGCTGCCATCTTTTCGGGCGATCCGAAAATCCACTCGCCTGGCAGCTTCAAGTTGAACGGGAGCTGCTCCGGTTCGGTAGCTGTGACCATCAACTGCTCATAAATATCGCGATGGTCTCGCGTAACGCGAACGTGACGCTTCGGGAAGTTCGCGTAGTACTCTGGGGAGGTCACGAGATGATCGCGGACTCCATTGTCCTTCACAAAGTGCGATGGATCCATCAGGTCCGAGCCGGTGTGCTGGGCTCCATTCTGCGCGGCATGGTTCCACGACTCAAGTTGCTCACTCCACCCAGGTTCATCTTCTTCACAAAAGAGCACGTCCTTCTTGTAGATCGTCTGTTGGAGTTGGTGATGGTTCATTTGCAAACGAAGTTGTATGTTGAAGAAGAGTCTGCACTTCGATGAGAATCAAAATCCAAGATAAGAAAATTTCTCAGCATGGCTAAAAGTAAAAGTAAAACTACAATCACAAATAACTCAGGTCAAAGCTATACGTGCAGAGTGTCGCGAATGCTCGGACTTTTCTGCTTGATCGCGTTGCGAAATATTTCTCCAACGTAAACCGTGAGCTTGTAGTTCCAGCTGGAGCGCGAGTCTTGATCCTTTTTGCAGTTGAGATCAAAGACGTTGAGGAGGTACTTGTTCTGCTCCGGGTCCAACTCAACCCGGTCCTTGCTCTCACCCTTCCAACGCAGACGCGAAGTCGCCATCAAAAAACAATCTCGAACAACGCCTTTGCATAATTTGGCTCCCACCGGGATAAGCTTCGTCCTGTGAGTTAAGATTTTGCGACGCGTTTGAGCTGTTGATCGAAGGACAAGGTTTGACGTTGAGGATTAGAGCTCTTTGCTTTCGTGTTATTTTTCCTTTTCTAAAAGTTGGGGCTGAAGTCGCTGCCTATCTGTCTTCTCTATTTCTAAATCTAGACTCTAAGTCTGCATCTAGTTCAAGGCTAGAGTCTAAAAGTAAGTGTAGTACTTGATTAGGGCGCTGTGCTTTGGTTCGTCGTTGCCTGTTGCGTAGCGACGGACAATCGTGAGCCATTCGTTGCAATCTCCTCGGCGCCAGCATTCACGATAGCACTGTCCCAAAGTTTCGATCTCGCTTTTGTTGATAACGGCTTCGCGTCCTTTCTGTTTTAGTTTTAGATTTAGACTGTGACCTTTGTCTTCAATGTTTTTAGATGCAGAAAGGAGGAAGCAAGAATCTTTGCGATAACTAAAAAAGTAAACCCAGGTGAGAGATATGAGCTAAATCTAGGTTCTGAAGTAACTAACTAACATTAAGTACACGAAAAAACTTCTCCTTGTCGAGGTCCTCCTCGTCTTCCGTCTTGTCTCGCTTTTGATATTCCGCCCACTGCCTTTCGAGCTGTGAGGTTAAGTTAATTTTCGAGAAGCGTGTATCTGAATTTATTTACAATCACATCCACAGAATGAGAATGAAAATGAAGCCGAAGAAGAAGCCAGGGCCAAAGCTAAACTCAAAGAGAAAAGCTACGCCCACTTCTACAGCGACAAGATCCACGAAAAAGAAATGCGAACCCAAGTCGAAGTCTGAGAGGAAAATGAAAGCGGTGTGCAAAGATGGAGGAGGAGGCCACGAGCACGAGCGAAGTGGGTCGCTGCAAATCGAAGACTGCAAGAGGTTTGGCGTTGCAATGCAAGAAAACTCGGGAAGGAAACAAAAAGCCGGCCGAGCCTACAGGCTCTGCTGGCTTTTCCAATGCCTCACAGGCCGCCGGGGGATTGACGTTAGGCTTCTGACATTCGCGGACGTCGACGAGAACGATCTATCTCGGATCCGAGTAGGAAACAGCAAAAATTCTAAAGACCCTAAAAAACCGAGGGGCGCACTAACGTGGATACCGATCAAGCCACAACCAGACACGAGGAAGTTCATCAAGGAC